AGGGCCCGGCCGAGAGGGCAGATAACAGAATCTTAGTTGGAAGGAGTGTGGAGTGCTGCGTGATGTAATGCAGCTAGGAATAAAGTGCTATTCAGGGCACTGAGAAGAGAAACAGTAATTTTGCTAGGGAGGGTAAAGGAAACGCCTCTAAAAGAAGAGACATTTGATTTGATCTTTGGACTGAGTCAACAGGCAAATGGCTTAGATGAGGACAAGAGCAGAGTGGGAGGGAAGAGAGATAAAGAAGAGAACAACCTTCCAAATGAAAGAAGCTGCACAATAGGATGCAGACATATATTCACTCACTCGTTTAGATATTCATTTGATTTTTTTTTTTTTTTGTAGTACTTAGGATTGAACCTAGGGCCTCATACATGTTAGGTAAATGCTTTACCATTTCAGCCACACCCTCAGTCCATCATTCAACAAACAGGTATTTGTTGAGTGCCAGACATTATTCTTGGCATTAAGGATGCAACAGGAAGCAAGACAGACAAGGTCCTTGATTCTCTTGTGGAGTTTATACTTTACAGCTGGAAGGGACAGAAAGCAAACACAAATAGGTGAACAAGGGCTGGAGGTGTGGCAGAGGTCTTGCCTTGCTAGTGAGAAGCTCTGTATTCAAACCCCAGGCCCTTAAAAAAAAATCTTAAAAAAAAATTAAGTGAACAAGATGGTTTTGGAGAATGACCTGTTTTATAAAGAAAATAAATTGGGAGACTGTATAAGAGTACTCTGGGGGTGGGGGAATCTCTTAAGACTTGGTGGTCAGAGAGACCTCTCTGAGAGGAAGCACTTGACCTGAGAACCAAATGGTGAGGAGGCAGCTTTCTGTGGGCAAAATGTTCCAATGGTGAGAACAGTAAACAGTCACCCTCCATACCCATGGGTCCTGCATCTGCAGGTGTCACTAATTGAGGATTGAAAATACTAGAGAAAAACAAGTGTGTCTGTACTGAACATGTACAAGCTTTTTTTTCTTGTCATTATTCCCTAAATGATAGGCCAATAGTTATTTATATCGTATACAGCATTACAAGTAATTTAGGATGTGCCTAGGGACTTGAACATCTGCAGAGGTGGGTGTCCACAGGGAGGCTGGGGCTGGAACCAGTCCCAGTGACTAGGTGGTGATGACTGCACAAATACCCTATAACAAGACTATGTCTGGTATGTTTGAGCAACAGAAAGGCCACCTGACTGGGGCAGTGTGAACAAAGGACAGAGGGATGAAGACCAGAAAGGTTGGCAGGCTTGGTTAGTGGGCCTGGGGGCCACCATAACAAGTTTGTTTTGAATAAGTACCATCTGGCTGCTGAGTAGAGAGTGGTTTGGAAGCAGGGTGACCCATTGGGAGGCTCTTGCTTACTCAAGGCATGAGAGCTTGGTGGCTCAGACCAGGGTGGCAGCAGTAGAAACAGACGTGTTCAGAGCAAATACGTATTTTGAAATGCAGTTGATAGGAGCTGCTGATGGATTGCAGTGGGGGTGAGGAAAAGGAAGATGCAGATAATTATTTCAAATGCTACAAAAGGTTAAGATGGGCACATTAAAGTGACTGTTTAGGGTCTCCCTAGGTAGTCCAGGCTGACCTCAAATACTCTACCTCAGATTCTAGAGTGCTGGAATTACAGGTATGACTCACCATGCCCATCTTTATTAAATAATTAAAAAAATTAGGTATGAGGTTATGGCTATTTTTTTATTGGCCAAATCTATTGGGTTAAAATATGGTGCCATCATTGTTTATGGATAGGTATATGGAATTATTAGAGCAAATATACCAGTGATTTTTTTCTTTTTACAAACTCAAAGATAATACCTACATAGTATATCAGAAGGACAAGTTTGAGCTGTGACAATGCTGGCCAAACTGATTGTTTGGTTATCTTTATACCTAGATAGTATGTACTTACAAACACATACTACTGCAGTTTGGGATATGGAATGGACTTTTTCTCATTGTACTCATTCTAATTTTAGATTTATTAGTACCTGGGTTTATCAATTGAATGAACATTTACTGTTTTTGTATTTTATTCTCAACTTGTTTTTCTTTGAATTTGTTGAAATTGTCACTCTTATGAAACCTTAAATGAAAGATGTTGATTGAGAAAGTGGAGAGTGAAAAGCTCTGAGGTTTGGGTTCTTACTTCCCCTACCACCTTTCTGTCCATTTGTTTCCTTCACAAATCACTCCTCTGGATTTGTAACTTCAAACAAAACAAAACAAAACAAAACAAAACAAAACAAAAAAACAAAACTGACTTGCATGAGATGATTTCCTAGCTACCTTTAAAAAAGTGACCTTGTTCACAGTAGTGGCACATGTGTGACTATAGTGGGAACACAAGATTGGTAGGAGAAGATGCTGGAAAAGAATGACTATGAATACTTTGTGAACGAATAAACTTACTTCATAGGAAGGAGACAGGGGTACTGTTTCATTCACAAAGCCAGAATGATATTCTGTTGGAGGCCAGGAACCTCTCACATCTTTATTGGCAAGATTGGTTTTGTTTTAAAAAGTCCTCTATCTGATTGTGAATACATTTGTTGATGTCTCTCTCTACATTGCTTCATCTCTTTTTTTTTTTTGCCCTCAGGATAAATATCTGTTCTTAAACTCTCCACAGACCTCAGCATCTCTCCTCTCATGAGGTTCTCAGAACCTGTCCAAGTCCAGCAGGAAGTGTTGCACATGGTAGACACTGGGGAAAGTGTACTGAGGGCAACTAAAATATTTGGGTTGGGAGAGGAAGAGGAAGAGGAGCATCTAGTACTTTGTTTCACTTCTCCCTTCTTCCTTGTTAACTCACAATGCTTGGCTCTTTTTGACTGGGAGGAGGCATGATCTGGCTTAATAATAATAATAATAACTTTATTTTGCTGGTTGGCTGATTCTATTGTTTTCCAGTCCTGTAGTCCTGTTGCCTCTTTTTCAGTCTCCTGCAAACACACAAGCAGGCCTGCAGAGGTCCTCAGTGCTCCCTGGGAATGCTGTACCAGGTAGGTCTTCTTTAGCTAACATTATCTTTTATTTAAACAGTAACAGTAGCCACCAATATTGTTACTAACAATATCACAGGGTGTTAAACTAATGCAGGATCTACTGTTTGGGAATGGGGAATCTGGCAACACAGTCACTAATACAATGTTACAGAAATGTAGCAAGTGTGACTTTCTGGTTCCTTCTTAGAACTTCAGAGCTGTGAGGGATTTGAAGTATGTTATTTCAATTCTCCTTTTATTTATCTTTTCAGGGCTGGGAATCAAACCCAGAGCCTCATCATGCAGGCCAGACAAGTGCTCTAACATTGAGCTACATCCCCAGGCCCCAACCCTCCCTATTTTAAACTGTGAAAATCAAGAAGTAGGAAGACAAAGAAACTTTCCCAAGAGGCAGATGAGGGTTAGAAATTAAGCTTTTGATAATTTGAAGAGTTCATTACAGGGCTGGCAGAGTGGCTCAAGTGGTAGAGCATCTACCTAGCAAGCATAAGGCCCAGAGTTCAAAGCCCAGAACCATCAAAAAGGAAAAAAAAAAAAAAAAAAGACTTCATTACAGCTCCTTAGATTAAGGATTAAATGCTAACCCTTTCTTCCCTGTGATCCTTTCTCACCTGAAAGCATTTTTTCATGATTTAGATTTTCCAAACTAGCCAATTGTAAACAATGGTTGTGCCCTTACTTATAAAAGGCTGATGCCTACTGACGTATATGAGGTGTTTTTACTAACATTGGGACCCTATTCATAGTTGACCATACAACGTACATAAACTTAATACAATCTGGTTGGCTAAAAATATTTTAAAGATTGCTGGATGGAGTTGAGGGTGAAGTTTTGAGTCACTGGGGATCTACTCCAGCACCACTCTGTTTTTTGGTGCAAACTAGTATAGGAAGGAGATTGGAGTCAGCTGGACCTCCTAAAACATCTCACGTCCTGATAGCTGCTCAATAAAACATGTACTTTCTCTTTTTTCTTTTTCTTTTCTTTTTTCCTAAAATGTCAGTAGAAACATGAGGTTTCCTCGGATGAACTGCAGAACCCCAGTGGCTTAGTGGAAAGGCTGAACCTGCTCTTTTCTCTTGTCCTGGCAAGCACACTCTTTATCAAATTGACCAGTTTTCCTGCTGGGAGACTGCCGCACTCCACCCACCTAGTGCCTCCCTGGATTTCCCCGCTGCCCTGAGTTTATTTTTTTAACCTTCTCTTCCTTGAAAAGCACCACCTCACTGACCCAGAACGTGGGCTCCTCCCCTTTGGTCAATGAGATCATCCCGCTCTCCTTCCTGGGCTGTCCGAACTCCTCTCTCTCTGCAGGGCCCTCCAATGCTCCTAGAGCCCCCTTCCTACGTTAACCGGGTGCAGGGCAGGGGGAAGAGGGATCATGCCTTGCTTCTGAGCAGGGCATGGCAGGACCGGGTGGGACTGGTACTAGCTTACTAACAATTCAACCGAACAAAAAATTAACTGCTTTGGACCCTGAGGGCCACTTCTGATAACTTAGGCTCTTGGATGGGAATGTTTAAATTGTAAGGAAGGAATTACTACTATCCTGTCCCTCCCCGAGTAAAAGCGCCATAAATCCCACCGCCCAACATTTCTCTCCCCTTCCCCGCCCCAGGTCCTGGAATCCCAGGACAAACTCGAAACCCAAACAGGCACAGAAAGCCCACCCATCCTCATCATCCTTTCTCCCTCCCCGCCTCAGTTCCCTCAACCGGCAGGACCCGGCCCTAGCGCTGCACTCCCTGCACCCAAGCCCGGCCAGGGCAGAGGGGTGGGGGGCGGGAGGTAGGGGAAGCAGGGGGCGGAGTTCCGTCCTCCGCTGATTGGCTCCACGCAGATGGGCTGCGGCCGTGCCAGGCCAACCCGCTGCGTGTTGCTATGTGCCGAGCGGAGGGGATAGGCGCGGGGGCGCGTCTGTCACAGGGCAGCCCCCGGCCCGGACCCGGAGGGATGCGGAGTGGCGGCGGCGGCAGTGGCGGAGATTGTGGCTTTAAGAGCGCTTCGGTAGCTCCAGATCCAGCCGGGCTGTCCTTCGCGGCTGCGCACCCACGCGGAGCAGAGCCCGGCGCTGGCCGGACGGGCCTGGCTGCTGCCAGGTACGTGAGCCTGGAGCCCCGAGCGGGGCGCGGGCTGGGCGCGCGTGGGCGTGGGGCGCGCTGTCAGCGCGGGCTCTTGGAACCCGGCACTGGACACCCGTCCGAGATCCCTCCCGCCCAGAGCGCAACGCCCTCGGCCGCGGACGACGGTGGCGAAGTCCTGCGTGGGGGTCCTCCGTGGGGGCCCGGGTGCCAGGGCGGGGAGCGGGCCGCTCGGGCCACGTGATCGGTTTGTTTACAAACACTACCGAGCCCCGGCGGCAGCCAGCGGAGCCAGCCGAGGTGGCACGGGCCTCGGGTTCGGAGCTGGGGTCTGGTGCGAGGAGCAGGCAAGTCTGGGGACTGGGAGACCGGGTTGCTGCTTCTTTCTCAGTGTAGTCCCAGCGGCTATGACTCCATGGGGGTCTGAGTGCGGGCTTCGGACGTCTTCTGGCCCCGTGTGACCCTGAGTCTCCCCTGGAGACGTTGAGTCTGGGGACGCCGTCCTAGGGACCCTGCCTCTGGGGCATTGGCCACCCTCGAAACTCCCGAGAGCGCTTCACCAGCCCCCGGCCGAGATAACCGCAGCGAGTTCCTGCCTGGCGGCTCCCGGCGCCTCCCCAACGTCTTTGCCAAGGGAGGTGGGCGCGAGCTCTCTCCTGCCCGGCGGAATGTGGTGGCCTCTGCAGCGATCAGCTCCCAGGAGCTGGCGCCCAGGGGTCGCCTCGACCCCTCGCTGCTTCAACTTCACCCTGCTTGGCTGCTGATCTCCTCTGGGTAGTTTTCCCTAAGTGGTGGGCTTAGGGTGTGGGGGTGGGGAAAGACACACCTATACTTTTAGATCTCTTGCCCAGGGGACTGCCATCTCCGACTTAACTCCTGTCTTCAAGAATTTAAAAAACCAAGTGAGTGAGTGTCCTCCGTTTTCCCCTGCTTAGTATATAGTCCACCCTCCCACTGTCCCGCCACTGTGAATGGCACAGGGGAACTGCTCCTGAGTCTTTTGTTGTTGTTGTTGTTGATTTAGTCTCTTTGCAACTGGGAGAGTTTTTGAGTGAGTGAGTCTTTGTCTTTGGCGAGTCTAAGAAGACAACAGCACGTTACTCTTTTTTTTTTCCCCTCCCTTCCTTTCTTCTAGCCTAGTAAGATGGGGCGCCCTATCAAGAGTATTGAGCAGGGGCTTGCGGAGTGGCTGAACTGGTAGAGCCTAGCAAGTGTGAGACCCTGAGTTCAAACCTCAGTGCCCCCAAAAAAGAAAGAAAAAAGAGCAATGGGTAGGATGGATAGTGGCTCACTTCCCTGTACCCCACTTACAGAACAATAGAGGTGCAAAGAACTCTGGGGCTTGATAAGGAAATCTCACTAGTTGTGGTGGGACTGATTTCACATGGCTAATGCTGTCCAGTGATCTGTTAGTCCTGGGGTCTCGGGACCTGTGATCAGTGAGTTTGGATTTACCATTCCCTGCCTTTCCTTTTTACCTAGCCTTCTATCATAGGACCTCAGAGGTGCATCTAACCTGAGTTCTGTCCATCAGTCCCTCACTTCCTTAGCACTTAATGCTGAGGCTTTTCTCTGAGCTGTGATGAGTGGCTACAAGTGTTGCCCACCCCCAACAGGCTCAGTGTTAGGAGAACTGTATGAACTTTCCTTGGCACCATCTTTTGCCCCCAGCTTCATGACATACTCTCAAGTGGGAGTGGAGTGGGGACTTTGGTCTCATCCCCTTCCTCAGTTGGACTTTGCCTTATCAATTTAGGATTCGGTGACACCATTTCTTGGATCTCTCTTGATACCTCTTTGCTTAAATTAAAATCAGAAAGATTGGAGTTGGGGGTGGAAAATAGAAAATAAGCACCTTGCACAAGAATACTGTTTTCCTTCTTCCCTCTAGGAACATGGTTTTCAAACCTGGAGTGGAATCCATCATAAGAATTAAGTTATAAAGCACTGTACATGAGCCATAACCAAAATAACTTCCAGGAAACCATCATTATTACCCTTACTACCTGCAGTGTGCTTTAGTTAAACTTTTTTTCTACTTCATTAAAAATAATCAACTGGTGGTCATGACTCATTAATTAGATTTCCTAACCAAATGGGTCATGACCCACAGTTTGAGAAGCATTGCCTTAGGACAGAAGTCCTCAAATTTTTGAGTATGCGTAAAGACCTGGGTAGTGTTTAAAAACAGTTTGTCAGGCCACTCTGAGATGTTTATTTTCAGTGGGGCACAGGAATTTGCATTTTTAATAAGTGGTCATTTTATTAATGTGGTGATACAGGTGGCTGGCTGGTTAGAAACCCTGGTCTAGTAGGAGCTGGTGGCAATGAATAATGAGAAGCAAACTTGGATAACAAATGCAAAATCAGGTATGTGACCTGCACTCCATGCAAGCCCAAGGTCACTCAGCTGCCAACCCTACTAGCCTAAGCTTTGAAAAGTTTAAGGGCACAGTATAGTTTGTTTTCCAACTGCCATGAAGCAGTTGGTGTTAAGAAGCTAGCAGCCCTCCCTGCTCCACTTCAGCTCATTTGAGGGCTACTGTTCACTGTTTTGTACCATTGGATGTTTCTGGGTGCATGGCGGTTGGGGATGAGTAGTGCTGCTGAGTTGCTGAGCTGTTCACAGATTATGGGACTTTTCATTGTCATAATGATGTTCATGGTTTTGAGACAGCAACTCGGTCATTGTGCTTGGGGGATTAACAGTTGGCCAGCACAAGAAAGAATTGATTTTGTTTAATATCTGGATGGTATTCCAGACTGTATAGCCTGGGGGAAAGACAGGCTGGTGACTTTATTTTTATTTAGGGGGTTGGGGGAGTCAGTGGCTTGCCTATCTTCAGATGTAATAAGAGACAGGAATTCCCACACCTCTTTGCTTACTCCTCTTTGTTTCTTTCTCATTGCAAGGGAGCCCCACTCCTGTGTGCAGGTGGATCTTGTTAATCATCCAGTTTCTGATGCTTTTACTTCTGCCTTCAAGCACAAGCATACACCTCTGCAACCCTTAGATATTTCACACATCTTGTGTCCAAACAGTGGTAGAAGAAATTTCTTTGAATTAATCAAAGCTGCAATTTAGCTTCAAAAGGACACTAAATGATCTAAATTCAAATTCTATAGTCCTTCTTGGCAAAGGTGTGCCTAATATGGGAATATTAACTGTGGAATATTTTTAAACTATGGAATTGTTTAAGTTAACTTCAATCATGATCAGTTTGACCAAGAAGCTGACATTCAGAATGTTCAGTTTGAGTGTATGGGAAAAAGAAAGCAGCAAAAGCAAAGCCAAAGGATAGGATATCTCCTATAGGAAAAGCAGAGGGAAGAGATACTCAGGTGAGATGCAAATGGAAGAGCAGGATCAGTTCCCTTGTTCCCTAGGGTCTATCAAGCAAGCCACTTGGTGCTGTGACAGGTATAAAGCTCTGGAAAAGGAAGAGGCATCATTGTGAATTCCAGCCTACAATGATGGAAAGCCAGCCAGAGCCTGCAGGCTAAGGGTATTTTGTTAAGAGTTGACAAGTTTTCAGTGATATTATCCTTAACAAAAGGTGATAGCCACTTGAGTCTGTAAAGGATTGCACCTGCCTGAATCTTCTGGCGCTGTGGCTGTATCTCTGGAGGGCTTAAAAGTAAGTCAGAATATGCTACTAACTTGCTTACAATTTGCCAGCAGCTTCCTCCTGCACTTCAGATGTAATAACTCTTTTTTTCTGTAGTCATTGGGTGCCTGCCCATCCCCCAACTGTTCCCACCTTATCCCCTACCTGTCTCCACCCAGTCCTCCCAGCTTCATTTCTGTCTCAGCTGCACTGGCCATCCTGAAGTTTCTGAAACATGCCACACTTTTTTAAGTTACAGGGCTTTTCTACTGCTAGTTTCACTTTCCAGGATACCCTTTCTCCAAGTTTTGGCAAACTGATTCCTTTCACATTTGGTGAGCCCTTCCCTGATCAAATATCTCAAACAGCTCCCCGACACACACACACACACACACACACACACACACACACACACACACACACACACACACACACACACACACACAGAGTTCCTCAGCCTTTCTTAATCCCTAACTTTATTTTTCTTGGAAATACATTGCCTACTTGTTTACTGGAATGGAATACCGAGAGCTTCCATTCCCTGTAACTTGCTGACAGTGGTTGACATTGGTTGACACTGGTTAAATATCTGTTGGGTAAATGAATGAATGAATGAATGATCAAGAGAGCCAAGGTTTAGAGTCTCTAAAGTAGAAAGTAATATTTAGTTTTATCATTGTTATTATTGGTGGTACTGGAGTTTGAACTCAGGGCCTTGCACTTGCTAGGCAGGCACTCTACTGCTTGAGCCACTCTGCACCATAGAGAGGGATTCTCTCAGAATTGGTTTCTTTTGCAATTTCCGCTTTTCAGTCTTTTTCATTGTTTTATTCTATTTCTAGGTTGCCAAAGTCTCTAAAAGCTCTTTTTATTGTCATTGTCTCCTATACTGACCTTACTGCAGGCCTCATTTTTTTTTTCTGACAATTAACATTTCTATCAGTAATCATATTTCATTAATACCAGGAGACACTGTGGTGGGGCTAGAAGCCTGGGCTCTGGAATCAGAACTGGATAATTAGCTCTGTGACCTTAGACAATCTAAAATTCTCCAAGTCTTTGTTCCTTATTTGTAAAATGGCACTAATAATAGTTCCTATCACACAGGATTTATGGGAGGATTAAGTGAGAGAATACAGGGAAACCAGGCAAGGGGCTGGGCACTCAGTGCTAGCTATTAATAACAGCACTGATATTGATGGATTCTCCTCACTGGCTGGCAGCCATCCATTCCCAATTCATTGATTTGGGGGTGAGGGTGGGAAACTACCAAATGCCACTTAAATGTATCAGACCTGGAGTGGGATTTACAGATCATCAGATGGCAGACTGACTGCAGCCCATCTCTGCAAGCACCATTCTGAAGTAATATTTCTCAAAGTTTTCAGAAGGATGTGTTGTCTCCCTGTT